CTCTCTCTCTCTCTCTCTCTCTCTCTCTCTCTCTCTCTCTCTCACCATCTCCGCACGTGCCATCTGCACGTGCGTCACAACCAGCCAGAATTGGCAGGATCTTATGAAAGTCTATGGGTCTAAGTTGTTGATGTCATCAGAATGACACCCAGAGACGAACGGCCAGACAGAACAGATGAATAAGATCTTGCAGCAGCTACTCAGAATGTATATTTTACCGGATCAGATACTCCCCAAGGTAACCGTGTTCATCTAGCTACCTCTAGGACCCCTAACAAGCTGCATAAGTCCTTTAGACCAAGGAGACCGTTTGAAGGACTGAACCGGGATCAGATACAGAGATTACCGCCCAGCACTCGAGAGTTTGCATTGCAGCATCAGCAAGAAGTCGCTAAGGTGATTGAGAACCTGATGAAGGCCCAGCCTCGTATGATTGAGCAAGCTAACAAGCGTAGCCAACCTTCACAGTTTCAGGTAGGCGACTTAGTCTGGTTGAAGTTTAAAGAGTTCGCACCCGAAGAGAACATCTCGCAAAAGCTCTTACCTGCATACAGAGGACCATGGCCTGTCCTAGAAAGGAGGAGAGGACGGGCCATCATACACTATAGAGATACCAGCGCATCTCCATGTACCCAGTCTTCCATGCGTCAAAGCTACTGCCGTGCACCACCAGTGACAGATTTCCTTCACGAAGATCAATCATTCCGCCAGATATGGATGGTGCCTATGATATAGATCGCATAGTGGAAGAGGATGTGTTCAGAACTGGAGGGCGAGGTCATCCCCAGAAGCAATACAAAGTCAGGTTCGCATATCAGGAACCAGAGAACGACAGATGGTTCACCAGAACGGAACTTTTAGAAACCGCTCCCGACATAGTACACGGTTACGAGAGAGCAAGAAAGAGGTAAAGGTCCTATCTTGAGTTAGAGTGTTCTCGGAGGACCTCAAATTTAGGACGGCGGGAGTGAAACGGTTTCTCACCCAGTTGACACGACATTTGCAAGACACTGAGATTCGATCCCTAGACCTATGCCTGAACCCTGTACATTGACCCTGTGTGCTGAGTGAGATTCGATCCCTAGACCTATGCCTGTGCCCTGTACATCTAGCCGGTGACTGTGTGAGATTCGAACCCGCGACCTGTCCTGTGTCATAGGTTAGGCCGTAGGTCGGGAAGTTGGACTTGATCCCTAGGTCTGTAGGTTAGTAGTCGAGTTTGTTACGGGTTGTCCTAGGAAGGTCTGTTCTAGAAGTCTCTACTTGAGTCTATTGAGGGCCTAGAGTCAGTCTGCAAGTCTGTAGGCTTTAGAAGGCTGTAGGTCCCCGTAGGCCGGCCCAGTCAGCAAGTATCAGGGAAGGACTGCACGTGGGGGAAGGTTCTGGTCACGCGGTATGCAGAAGGGTCCGGAACACGTGTTCTGGGGCCCAGCAGCTCACGTGGTTTGGAAACTTCCAGACCCGAGGCCCACGCGTTTAGAGGCCCAGGCCCGCACGTTTTGAGGCAGGGCCCGGCCACCTCCGAAGGAGTATTAACAAAGAGGCAGCGTCCAGCCATTCATTCATTCGCCTGTGAGCCATGCGGAAGCGCTGCCTTGGTGACCTGTGTGTGGAGGTCTGCAGGTGCCCGGAGCTGAAGTGGGCAGTGAGGAAGACGACAGCCATAGCTAGGAGGAGGAAGATGACGGCAGCCATAGCCGCCCAGCTGTTGCCACAGACAGAGTGTACAGAGTGTGTGTGTCTGTGTAGCGTGGACATTCAGGGTAGATTCTCGTACATGCGTGCATGAGGGAGAGTGAGGCTGGTGGTGGAGACAGTGTTCGGCGGCCATAGCCGCAAGTTGTACAGTTGACTTGAACAGAGTTTAAGTGCAAGTTCGTTGTTGATTCTGAGTTGAAGAGTTTGGTTTTGCCATCAGTCCCGTGTATGCATGTTGAAAACAAGTTTGGAGTGCAGTTTGATTTCATTATTATTATTATTATTATTTCTGGGTTTTTTGCTTGCATTCTATCAGTTTCCATCCATCTCAATCTGAAATGACCCCATATTGACCAGCCATCGATTGAGACAAAGAAATGGTACTTGGACTGAAAAAGGGCCAGGCGATGATGAGGATGAGGATGATGCTCGTTCGAAAAAAAAAAAAAAAAAGATCATGATGCTCATCTGATGTGATGTTTTTGCTATTTGGGTTGGTCGGTGGGGGGGATGGTTCATCCTCACGGGTCGCTCTCCAATTGTTTTCTTCCAGGTAGATATAAGGATCGGAAAAGCGGCAGAGACTCTACAGATGCTGTTAGATCATGGCGAGGCAAACAGGTTTGGGACTTTGGATTGCTTGGAGCCCATTTTTCTTTTTCCCCCTTTTTTTCCCGAATGCAGGTTTGTACAATTGCGTTTATGACTTCTCCGCGTTCTGCTCATCATTTATTATTCAAATCTAGAAACAGTTGCTCATGGTAAGGGCATAAGGGGTTTAGATTGGCAACAAGAAAGTAGCTGGAAAGCCTGAAATTCAATGAAGGCGTGGGATGGATCGTTACTGCACAGTGCACACTGATATGGGGTGGTCCATGCCAAAAGGTGGATAAAAAGTTGTGTAAGAATTACTGAACCACAAAAAAACAAGAACTTTCTGGCCAGCTGCATGTACTTGACCCTACCGGCAGTCAGAATCTGGCTTTATCTCCCAATAGCCGATGGGGTCCTCCATCCATTGGGAGTTTGGGGAGTGTGAACTAACAAAGTTTTATAACAGGTTTGAGAGGGGTTCAACGGGGTGTCTCATACTTGACATTTTGAGCTGTGTGCCTAAAATTGTGGGATGCGTAAATTTGAAGTACATGCATGGCAGCATAGCTGGCGTATGCTGCTCTGACCATCTCGCCGGCCTTTGCACAGCGAGCTGCGCAGTTCAGATACCATTTGCACTAGTTAGTATTGGAGACGTGAGAGAGGGCAAGAGCGCGCACACACGAGAGAGAGAGAGAGAGAGAGAGAGAGAGAGAGAGAGAGAGAGAGAGAGAGAGAGAGAGAGAGAGAGAG